TGTCCTTCATTCAGTCTAGTCACATATTCTAGCCACGTGTTCTTACACAAGAGTCTTAACATATCACCTACACTCACTAGTCTTAGCACGCATTTTGTATATCTCACCCTAACCTTGTCTTAGGTTCATGCACGAGTCGGTTTTTTTTCCGTCATTTGAGTTGGGGGTACATTCTATTTCTAATTTTTGTCATATCTCTCCATCTACATCATCTTTCCATTTTCTACATGCTTTCCCCATATCACAATACTCATTCTTCCAACCTCTTTGCATCTATTGCATGTTGAATAGAGTTTGAGTCAAATAAATAATAGTGAATGTCCCTAATTTCCCTTTCCACAGTACTTGGTCAAGGTTAGAAGGGCGATTAATCAAGGACAACACCTTTATTCAAGTTCAAGTTTTTGATAAACCAATCGCTCGAAAAAGGAAAGCCAAGAAAATAATGGCAAGTCAAGAAGAAATCAATGAACTTAAGAAGCAAATGGCTGACGTGACTGGACTGTTAAATATTTTAACCCTCCAAATTAATGATCATGTGAAGCAACAACAAATGGATCTTATGCAAGAAAGCTTGAGCAAACTATCTAGTGATTACAAGTTTCATGGTATTATTTCACAAGGGGTCTCGGTGGACAAGGAGCTTCTTCCGCAGAAGTTCAATGCCAACGACATCCCAAAATTCAAGGCAATTGATAACCCTTATTTTCATTTAAGAGCTTTTGAAACTATAATGAACATTAAGGGGACTGATAGGGAAGTCTTTCATTCCTTGTTTTCTGTATCTCTTGAAACCGTTTGTCAAAAATGGTTCTTTTCTCCTGCTAAAGAGAAAACTTCTACTTGGGATGCTATTGTAAACGCTTTCATTCATAGATATAAGTGTAATATTCAAGTCGAAACCAATTATAGACAACTTGAGATGCTGAGAAAATAAGAGAATGAAGGCTTTACTTCTTTATTTAATAAGTGGAGTGAAACTTCCGCTATGATCATTGAGGTGCCCTCTGAAAAATAATCTGTAAGGATGTTTATGAAGAATCTCCAAGAGAAGTATTTGAAGCATTTAAAATATCAGCATAATTTAAAATACTTTCAATAGTAACCACAGTAGTTGGAAAGGAACGAAGAACTACAATCCTTCTTCTTCTGAAAACGCCAACTTTAGTAACAATGTTAGTACCTTTAACCATAACGATGTCTTAGCAATGGATAATCAAGGATATAAAAAGAAACCCATGAGAGACTTCACACCCATTAGAATGACCTACGATGTTTCTTTCGATCGTCTCTATAATCGAGGATTAATCAAACGTATTGGCCCTACCGAGGATCCAACGCCAGAAAAGCGATTTTCAAGATGGGATCCCAATTCCTATTATAAGTACAAATAAGGAAATGGTCATACTACAGATGAATGGTACAGGTTTCAAAATCTCATTCAAGATCTCATAGAAGCAAATAAGATCCCATTGCCTCTAGTTAGCGAGAAGACTGGGTGATGATGAAGAAAACGACACACAAGAGGCGAGCTTCAACGACAAGAAGGCAACATCAATGAAGCAAACAAATTGTTATGGCTAACTTATGTATAATTGTATTTATTGTTATGTTTAACGCCCTTTGGGGCGGCCGAGCCCCTTGGGGAGGGTAGGCGATATATGTTTGGTCCCCTGATGAGTGGCATTTATGCCACTCTTTTATCCTCTTTCTGTAAGGATTCTCCCCTCATTTGCACTTGTTTGGCCCTTTTTCTAAGAATTTTTACTTATTTTTGCTTCCTCTTTTCTTTCTCCTTTATCTTCCCTTTTCTTAGTCTTCTCGCTTTGTTTTTTTTTGTGATTTTCATGCTCATGCTTTGTAGGAACCATCGGGATTTTCAAGAGGAGGAAGCTAAGCTCAAGGGGAGCTGGAGGAAGTATGATTCAGAAGAGGTTTGGCCGAACCTCCTGAAGGTGTGGCCGAACCAAGGTGTGGCCGAACCTGCTCAGTGGTTCGGCCGAACGTCGAGGCAGGGACAAGATGCAATTTGGCGATTTTGCAGGAGTGGCCGAACCACATAAGTTCGACCAGACTAGGATCAGGGAGGTTCGACTGAACCTACCCATGGTTCGGCCGAACCTACCCTGTAGTCCGGCCGAACCTACCCTGTAGTTCGGCCGAACCTTCCCATTGTTCGGTCGGACCTATCCTTTTCTCAGCTGGCTCTGTACGGACTATATAAGTCCCATCTTAGAACGTTTTGAGGGATTAGATTAACTTAGTTTTAATTTTCTACATTTTAGCTTAATCTAGAGAGAAAAACACTATTAGTCTTCATTGGTAGAGAGAGAAAGTGTGGTTTTCTTCATTGATCAACTTGGATTTTGAAGATGGAGTTTGTTCAATCCTTTGTAGACCTTCATCTTCAATTAATGAGAAATCTCTTACTCTTTCTCTTTACCTTTTTTTTTATTTTGCTTATTTGCTTTGATTTTTCTACTTTGCTTATTAATCATGTTGATGCTTCTTGATTTGATGATTGATATTGTTTTCAATATGATTTGTGAGTAGTCACCTAGCGAAGGGTGTGGGGATGGTGTAGTTGCTAATTGATCATGCTTTTAATGTTGGGGTTATGTTAATGGTGATTAAAGTCTTTGCATGCTTGATATTCTTTGATCTTCTTGCAAGTGCACATTGTTAGTTGATCAAAGATGAGTCTTTGCTAACAAGTAACGGAAGTTGACTTAGTTGAGATTCATTACTATCGATAATTCTTTGTTTGCACCTTCTAATATAAGGTTCTAGTGTGAAAACATAGAGGCTATATTAGGAGAAACCGATTAACCCCAGAAGGTGGATAGATTGGGCCTTACTTCGGTACTCAAGCATGTTTAGTTTACCATTGATTTGCTACTTTGTTATTGCATGATCATGCGTCATCTTCACCTACCCATTCCCCTAGGTGCCTAGTTATATTAATTTTAATCCATTTCGTTCTTAGTTTAATCTCTTAGTTATTCACACTTCTTGTTCCGAAATAGATTATACCCTAGGTAATGAATACGGTGCTTAAGCAATTCTCCCTGTGGTTCGACCCCTATGCTTGCCTCATACTCGTATTAGGTTTGTTTAGGTTATACATTGTATTTGATCTAGGGATAGACAATTGACGACGCGTTTATTCCCTTGTCAAATTGGCGCCGTTGCCGGGGAGACGGCTTCCATTTGCTATTTCATTTCTTGTTTGAGACTACCTCATCTTCTTAGCTTTGTTGTATGAATAGAGGACGAACCCGCCCAAGATCTTTGGTTCCTATCGATCTAGAACTAGAGAGATCTTTGTCCCTACTTCGAAGAGAAGCAAGAGCAAGGAGTAGAAATTCCCACACTCCAACGAGACAAGTAAGAGAATTAGAAGATACTCCACCCTCAAGTGAAGAATTAGATAGCCCTAACTCATCTTCGATTTCGGATATCAACCCTTTCTCAACCTATAAGTTCGAGAGTGAAGAAGGTTCTAAAATGGGAGAGAATACGCCTTTGAGTCGTCTTGGGGCCCCGAAGCTTTTAGAGCGCAAAGTGGGATCCTAACTCCTACTACTCAAGCCAACAATTTCGAGATCAAGCCTAATTTGATTGCTTTGATTGAGAGGAAACAATTCTCGGGTGGAAAGTTTGAGAGTCCTCATGAGCACCTAAAAGAGTTCGAGAAATATTGTGACACAATAAAGGCCAATGGAGTGACTCAAGAATATATTCGCCTCAAAATGTTTCCATTTTCGCTAATTGGGAGAGGTCTAGAATGGCTAGAGAAGGAGGTGCCCCCTAATTCTCTCACAACATGGGACCGAATGACTACGACTTTCTTGAGGAGGTTTTATAACCATAGGAAGACCGCCGAGGCTCGGTCTTTGATTCAAGGTTTTCGCCAAAAGAGTGGTGAGTCTCTAAGAGCGGCATGGGGACGATACAAAGAGCTTCAACGTCAATGCCCACACCATGGGATACCCAAGTATCAACTCATTCACACTTTCTATGGAGGTCTCACACCTCAAGGAAGAACAAGCCTAGACGCCGCGGCCGGCGGTCCAATCATGAACAAAGGAGAGCATGAAGTGGAGTGTATTATAGAGGAGGCCGCAAAGCACTATGATTATTGGTACGAAGGAGAAAGGGATGCTACTTCTAGTAAGGTTGTTTATGCATTGGAGCAAGCCAACGCAATCAACAACCTTTCTACCCAAATCTCCAAAATGACCAAGCAAATGGATGAATTGATGAAAGAAAGGTCCAACCCTCATGGTAATACCTCCCCTTTAACCAAGGGAGGCAATGGTACATATACTTCCTCCTCCTCTTCTTACAATACAATGCTCCAAGGATGCATTTTTTGCTCTAATTGTGAAACCTATGATCATGATACCTCTCATTGTGTATATGCATGTGAAGTTCAACCCTCTTCCCATGAACATTATGATAATATGGAAAATGTCAATGCTATGAATTTTTCTCCTAGAATGGGAAATGTAGGAAACTTGAGGCCAAACTCCAATCAAATGGAGAATTGGAATCAAGGTGGAAACCGTGGTTGGAACCAAAGTGGTGGTGGTTATGATAACCAATACCATGGTGGGGGAGGCCCTTCCAATTTTAATGGAAGAGGCTACTCTAACCAAAGGGGGTATGGTAATCAAAACCAACAACCTTATTCCCGATACCATGACCATCAAAATCAAAATTTTGGTGACCAAGGTAACATGGGAAATAATCAACAAAGGAATGTTCCTAACCAAAGCACCGGAGGCAGTAGGGGCCAATTTGTTTCTAACTATGCCCAAATTAATAGGCCTCCGGGTTTCCATCAACCCCAACTTCCTCCACCTCAACAACCTCTTCAACTTGAAGCCCCTCCAATTGATCCCATGATGGCTAAATTAGATGCTCTTTTGAAAATGCGTGAGGAGGATCAAAAGAAACATGAAGAGGCCCAAAAATGAACCGATGCTCATATGAAAATGCTTGAGACCCAAATTGCTCAACTTGCATCTAATTCATCCCCTTCTTCTTCTTCTTCTTCTCACATCCCAAGTCAAGGATTCAACCCAAAACCTTTGTATGCCGTGATAACTAGGAGTGGGAAGGTAGTAGGGAGTGACCCTTTTAATTGAGGAAGAACCCCAAGAAGAGGTGGAGTTAGAGAATGAGGGTGAAAAACCCAATGATCCATTGAGTGTTGAAAAGAAAAAAAATGTTGAGGTGCCAAAGGAAAAAGAAGCCACCCCCTTGCCCCTAAATCGCCAACCTAGAGAGGAGAAGCTACCCTTTCCACAACGATTTGTGAGAGCTTAACTTGATGCTCAATTTGGGAAGTTTTTGGAAGTCATTAAGAATTTGCATATTTCCGTCCCTTTTGTTGATGCTATGAAGAAAATGCCCCACTATTCCAAATTTTTTAAAGACCTTTTGAGTGGGAGAAGGGAGTGTGAGACGGTGAGTTTGACCGCCAATTGTAGTGCAATTCTTTCCAACAAACTTCCTACCAAATTGAAAGATACGAGTAACTTTTCCATCCCTTGTTCTATCAATGGCATTGAATTTGATAAAGCATTGTGTGATTTAGGAGCAAGTGTGAGTCTCATGCCCTACTCTGTCTACCAAAAGCTTAGTGTAGGAACCCTCTCCCCCACTAACATTACTCTCCAACTAGCGGACAATTCCGTTAAGTTCCCCATGGGAAAAGTTGAGGACATTCCCCTTGGGGTAGGAAAGTTCACATTCCCTGTGGATTTCTATGTGCTAGAGATGGATGAGGATGAGAGGATTCCTATAATTTTGGGTAGGCCATTTCTAGCTACTTCTAGAGCTATCATCGATGTGAAGGAGGGGAAGATATCCTTGAAGATTGACAATGATTCTATTGAGTTTGATTTGAATAATGTCACGCAATAACCCTCCTCAAGTGGTGAATGCTTTAGGGTAGATGTTCTTGATACCGTTCTTAATGAATTTTCTCCCTCCCACTTTTATGCTACTAATGATCTTCTTGAAAGTGTGTTGTTGAATGAATCAAAGATAGGTACTCACAAAGAAGACATACAATTCTATGAGGATTTGCTTGAGGAAAGCAAGAAGGAGTGCAAGGGCGCACGCATGGAAGAAGAGGCTCCTTACATTCATGACCTTTTTCAAGTTGAAGAAAGAGAAGAGAGCCCCAATGGTAAGGGAGCACCAAAGGTAGACTTGAAACCTCTACCTTTGGGCTTGAGGTATGCATTTCTTGGTCCCGATGAGTCTTTCCCCGTGATTGTAAATTCTAACCTAACGGAGGAGCAAACCTCCCTCTTGATCAATGTTTTGAGAAAACACAAGAAAGCTTTGGATTATACCATTGATGATATCAAAGGTATTAGTCCATCTTTATTTATGCAAAAAATTGATCTAGAGGGAGATGCCAAATCCGTCAGGCAAAGGCAAAGAAAGCTTAACCCTTCCATGCAAGAGGTTGTGCGGAAGGAAGTGGCTAAGCTTCTTGATGCGGGAATTATTTACCCAATTGCTCATAGTGATTGGGTATCTGCCGTGCAAGTTGTGCCTAAGAAAGGGGACATGACGGTAGTGAAAAATGATCATGATCAACTAGTTCCCACTAGACTTGTTACCTGTTGGCGCATGTGTATTGACTATCGCCAACTTAACACAAGTACATGGAAAGATCATTTTCCACTACCATTCATTGACCAAATGTTGGAAAGGCTTACAAAGCATTCCTTCTATTTTTTCCTTGATGGTTACTCGGGTTTTTTCCAAATCCCGATTGACCCAAAGGATCATGAGAAGACAACTTTCACATGCCCCTACGGTACTTATGCGTATCGTAGGATGCCTTTCGGGCTTTATAATGCCCTGCAACATTCCAACGTTGCATGATGTCCATTTTTAGTGATATGATTGAGGATGAGATAGAAATCTTCATGGATGACTACTCCGTTGGAGGAGCCACCTATGAAGATTGTCTATCTAATTTATCTCGTTGCTTAGAAAGGTGTGAGAGGGCTAACCTCTTGTTGAATTGGGAACCACTTTATGGTGGAAAGTGGAATTGTTCTAGGGCACAAAATTTCCCATGCCGGCATTGAGGTTGATAGAGCCAAGGTTGAGGTCATCGAAAACTTCCTCCCCCACCAACGTCAGGGAAGTGAGGTCTTTTCTTGGCTATGCCGGGTTCTATCGGCGCTTTATAAAAGATTTTTCAATGATCTCTAAGCCTCTCACATCCCTATTACAACATGATAAGGAGTTTGTGTTTGATGATGCTTGTCATAAGTCCTTTTGTAGGTTGAAAGAAGCCCTTTGCACCGCTCCTATTGTCCAAGGTCCGGATTGGTCTCTTCCATTTGAGTTCATGTGCGATGCAAGCGACGAGGCCATTGGATCTGTTCTTGGACAACAAAAGGATGGGAAACTTCATGTCATACATTATTTGTCTAAAACTCTCAATGATGCCCAACGAAACTACACAACTACCGAGAAGGAGTTCCTAGCGGTTATCCATTCATTCGAGAAGTTTAGAACCTACCTCATTGGTTCTAAGACAATTGTGTATACCAACCACTCGGCTCTCAAATATTTGATCGGGAAGAAGGAAGCTAAACCTAGGTTGTTGAGATGGGTTTTAGTCCTCCAAGACTTCGATTATGAGATGAGAGACAAGAGGGGAGCCGAGAATGTGGTGGCGGTGCAAGGTTTGAAGATGATGGCTTGCCAATAGAGGACGCTCTACGAGATGATGTTCTATATGTCCTTGAAGTGAAATCAGAGCCGTGATATGTGGATATTGTGAATTACTTAGCTTGTAATGCATACCGCCGGATTTCACATCGCAACAACGTCAAAAACTCAAGCACAAGGCCAAGAGATACATTTGGGATGATCCCATTTTATTCAAGAGAGGGGTCGATGATTTGTTGAGGAGATGCGTCCCAACGACAAGGTTCAAAGTGTTCTCCATATGTGCCACTCTTCTCCTTGTGGTAGGCATATGAGTGCTCAAAAGACCGCCTCAAAGGTCCTTCAATCTATGCTCTTTTGGCCTTCTGTATTCAAGGATGCTTGTGATAGATGTCAACGGATGGGGAATATTTCTAGAAGAGAAGAAATGCCCTCTTCCTCCTTTAAAGTCGTTTGGTCACGATCTCGGGAGCTAAATACCAACACAAAGATTAAGACATGCATAGTTAAGAATCCAAAACGCTGCTCACAAGAATGATGAAGGAAATAACAAATGACGGTCACACGGGATAAAAATAAGCAAATACTAACCAAGGGAATCCTATTCACTACGGAGAGTAACACCATCTTACCACTTTCCCATGAACTAGTTGGTTTAAACGTCCTCAAAAGTCCTAAACAAGGGCTACCTTAGCTTATAATATGTCTAATTCAACCCTTAAGCATTCTTAAACCGTGGAAACCCTCATCAACTAGGAAGGTAAGCATTTAAAGTCATGTCATCAAAAAGGCACACAAATTCTCGAATCCAAATGAATGAGAAAATCCACATCAAAAATATTTCAACTTGCCATAGTCATGCTTGTTACAGAAAAGAGAAAAAGAAAAACACACAAAAAGAGGAAGAAATTAAAAAGGTTCATAATCGAGGAATGTAAATCAAATAAATCCCAATCGACATACAAGTGATCGTTGATATCAACATCAACGATCCCAGGTTCCTTGGAACCAAAATCAATCAACCTCAAACCATTCAACTCTTCCTAAACTAGACCTAAACTAAGCACTCAAAGAAAAAGAAAAAGAAAGAGAGGAAAGGTCTCACCGAATGCCGCTTGAAATATAAGACAAGGTAATATATCCAATCTCACCAAGGTAGCTATTGTTGCTCTTTAACGTCCTTCATCTCTGCTTCAAGCTTCAATAAAGGTGAGCCAAACAAAAGAAACTACAACAAAACAAGAAAAGGTTAGAAAACAAAGATAAAGACTAAAGAAATAAACAAAAAGAAGAAAAAATAAATAAAAAGCTATCTACAAAGTTTGGATTAAAAGGATTTTGATTTTTGGGAATTGTGGATTTTTCTCTTGGGAGCATCTCCACCTACAAAAACTCAGGAATCATCAAAGAAAATCATCAAAAATCAACAAAAATAATCATAAAACATCATCATCATCACCATCACATCACCACATCAATATCATCACAACATCACCGTCTCATCATATCACCATCACAACATCACCACCATCACAACACCACATCAATACCACAAGGCCACTATCCTCACTATCCTAACTATCCTCCTTATGTGCAAGCAACTACCCTACCACTCTAGCTTTCTATGTACACTTCAACCAACCAAAAGGACACGAGCAAAAGAATAGTGTGGGGGAGGATGTCCTTTTTGTTGGTTGAAGTGTACATAGGAAGGTAGAGTGGTACGGTAGTTGCTTGCACATAAGGAGGATAGTGAGGATAGTGGCCTTGTGGTATTGATGTGGCGTTGTGATGGTGGTGATGAAGTTGGTTATGTTGTGATGGTGATGTGATGATATTGATGTGGTGATGTGATGGTGATGATGATTAAACTAAGTTATTGCATGATCAAGCGTCATCTTCACCTACCCATTCCCCTTGGTGCCTAGTTAAATTAATTTTAATCCATTTCGTTCTTAGTTTGATCTCTTAGTTATACACACTTCTTGTTTCGAGATAGCTTAGACCCTAGGTAATGAATACGGTGCTAAAGCAATTCTCCCTGTGGTTCGACCCCTATGCTTGCTGTTGGGGTTTGGTGAGTCCGACTCACCACGGAAACAAACCCATAAACAAGACCGCACTCGCAATAAATAAAACCATAAATATAATTAAATTAATTACAAGATTAAGATAAGCTAATTACCTTTGACGCGTGCTTCGCTCCAAAATGAGCTCTTACTTGAAAGCTTCAAGTCCTGCTCACACGGAGACCTCCAACGAAGTCCACCCGCACCAACAAAACCGACTAGGTCAAATGTCTTGGGGTTAGCAAGACCCGACCAATAAAATCCGAGTAATTATATTGTGTTCAAAGGTTTTCACTAATTGTGATGCCTTTTTCAACTCTTACTCAAGCATTATTCCCAATGCCCATACTTGGGTATTTATAGGAAATGATGGGAGTATCATTTACTCTCCCATGAATGTGGGATAGTATGATTTTTCCATTTTATTTTAAAGCTAAAATAAAATCAATAATCAAGCTAGTAATAAATTAAAAAGTGGCAAGCTCATATGAGTGGTTAGGTCAGGACCACTTGGAGAAGGGGGGGACCAAACTTGCTCCCCACTCCCTCTCCCATAACCGGCCACCTCACTCCACACACACTCACGCCACAGCTACAAGCCACATGGCACCCACCCTTGGGCACCAAGGCAGCCAAGGTGGGATGACATGTGTTGCTGTCCGTGGCAGCCACGCCCAGCAAGCCCAGCAGGCCCAGCACTCGCATGCTGGCTGCCAGGCGCTGCTGGCCAGCAAGCCCAGCATGCTTGTGCGGGCTGCTGCTGGCCTTGTGCCTTGGCCAGCGTTGCTAGGCAGCAAGCAATGGCCTAGCCATGCTGCTTCTAGCTGGGGCGAGCTGGCGCGCCTAGCGTGCTAGCTGCTGCAGCTTTTTGCGGCATGGCTTGCAAGCCATTGCCCGCACTAGGCAGCGCCTAGCCTTGCGATGCTAGCATGGGTGCGCTAGCACGCACCAGCCAGCCTAGGCTTGACTTGGTGCGCATGCTAGCCACCATGCTAGGCCATACGCCCTTAGCACTCGGTTTGCTTGGGCATTCCGATACTAGGGGTATTTTGGTCTTTTGTTGATTTATTACTATTTCTCGTCTCGTCTTTCACTATTTTTCACCTCCACTTTCGACGCTCGGTTTCGACGCTCTAAGCTCGAATTCTCGAC